CCGCCACCCACCCCTATGGAGAGGGGACACCCATTCTGACTCATTTGGGCAGTCAGAATGAGCCAGCACATCTTTCCAGGCATAGGAAAGACATCCAGGTTGCTTTGGAATTTATCTGTCACCAGGCACTTAAGGGCTGAAGCAAATAGGGTAATATATTATACAGGTGTTTATTTCAGTCAGTGTGTGAGTGTTAGGGTGTGTGTGTCCTGTCACACGTGTGCTGTCTTACCTTTAACATGCATGTTCCTGTCAAACGGTGACATTAACCTTATTCATTCACAACTGTCAACCACCATTTTGTTTCAGGCAGGTAGGTGGTTTAAACCCAAATCAAATGCTTTTCCACAAATTAAATGCCTTCCTAAGAATAGTGATGGTGATGTAATGCTTGTTATAGAAAAAAATGAGAATAAGATTTCTTTCCACTTGCCTATGATTATACCACCTAAAGATAACCAACTGCTAACAATTTTGTTGTATGAGGGTACTTCAAAAAGTTCATGGTAATAAAAGAAGAAAAAAAAAAAAACAAAACAAAAAAGTTCGTGGAAAGATTTTCTTTTAATTCAGTTTTTCCACAGAACTTTTTGACGTACCTTCGTATTTCTTTCTAGCCTTGTTTGTGTAAGGGTGACAGCTGGGCTATTCTGCACATTGTCATATTGTAGCTTCTGTTTTATGTGTTTTCCCTAACTTTGAGATATGTCTGATCTTCTCGGTTTTTTAAGTGAGCTAAATTTGATCAAAATTGATTACCTCCTTTAAAACTTAATTCAGGAAGTATTTATGGACTGTTATCTTCATGCCAAGAACCCTTCCAGATAATGTGGTACACGTGTTTTGGGCAGGTGGAGAAAAAGCGAAGAATTAACAAGCATGGATCATGCGACAGGGCAGAGGGTGGATGGTGGCCCCAGATCAGAGGGCCATGTTCAGCTCTGGGCTTTTACACTATCTGTGTGACCTTGTCAAGTTTTTATCTTCCCTGATCTTCAATGTCCTCATCTATAAAATGGAAATAACATTACCTACTGTGCAGAGGTCATGAGGATGAAATGAAGCATCACACGTGATATGCCCGGGAAGCAGGCACCATTTCTTCAGTGCTTACTGTAGGAAGGAAACCTTGTCTTAGCAGGATCCTCCTCTCCTCCCTCCCAGAGGCACCTTGTCTTTTTGCAAAGAAACCTGGTGTTGTTGCTGTTTGTTTGGAGTGAGTGCTTTGGTCAGTGATGAGGCCTGCTTGAGAAACACGTGCTGGTCAGTGGCCACAGACTGCTTTCTAAGGCACTGTACCCAGAGGAATGTCTGCAGCTTTTGAATTGCCGCACAGGCCCTGAACACTGAGGACCCAGGTGGACTAACTCAGAGTGACAGAGGAGATTTTACAGGCTGTGGTGAGAGACAGGGGAGAGGAAATGAGAACGGAGATATTCAAAGGGGTTTCCCCCCCCCCAAAGTTTGCCATGTGTTGTGTGTAATCGACCCTGCTCTCCATCTCCCCATGGCTGGGAGCAAAATCTACCTCAGGTGGAGTTCATTGCAGTGCTGGCTGTTTCGGAGAAGGACCCAAAGCATGGAGACCACCTTGAGCGACCTGGGGAATGAAGACTGCTCCAGAGTCAGCCAGAGCACAGCAGATCACGTCACCCCCAGCTAGCTGCCTCTCAGCAGGTCCCTCCGCTGGATCACCCTGCAGGGATCCTGGCAGCCAAGCCTTACCTGTTCCTTACCCCACCTCTGCCTCATGACTTCCGCCCCAAGCTCTGCTCTCCTCCTCACAGTCTGCCCTATGCTTGGCAGGCTCTGGCCTTCCCTGGCCAGCTCAAGGCAAACTCGTGTTCATCTTTCAGAACCCAACCTGAGCGGCCCATCCCCAAACAGCTCAGCAGGCCTTCTTTGGCCCTTGTTGTGTAGCTTGATTTTAGCTTTTGTTAAGTTGTTTTTGTTCTTTTGTTCTTTCTTTCTTTTTGTAACACAATGATAGAGAAGCACATTAAGCCATGCTGAAACTAAAAATTCCCATCTGTGCATAACCATGAGAGGCAATAGTTACTGACCTGTGACTGCCTGATTTTTATTTGATCCTGACACCAATCCTGGGACACACAGTTATCGTAATTATTCCCATTTCACAGGTGAGGAGACTGAGGTTCAAAGAGGTTAAGTGTCAACACAAAATTCCTCCCACACCCTGCACGGGGCCTCTCCTTCCTCCCGCACCTTACTCTCTCTCCCAGGAGAGAGTGACCCTGAGGGCACGGAGGAGACCTTAGAGGTGGCTGTGGTGGGCACAAGAGGACAGGCACCTTGTCCAGTGCTTGGGTGGTCAGCTCACTTTGCAGGCCCTGCCACTCCTTCCCCATCTGTACCCCAGGGAATCATCCAGAAGTGGTTTGAGCTGTGCCTCTAACTTGCTCTGTTACCATGGGGAAGCAGCTTAACATCTCTGAGCCTTAATCTCCTCACTAAAGGAAGGGGTTGGACTTAGAATCTGGTCCAGATTGAAATGTTTCAACCGTCTGGCACCCTCCACACACAGAGTGCAGTCACCATTTGAGAGAGGCTGGAGTTACACAGGAGCGTTTTTTTTCATGTCACAGAAAGATTTTTTGCCACAAATTTATTTTCCAGAAATTCTAAGGAGGGGGAGGGGCAGGAATAAGAAAGAGAGAAAATGGGCCTCTTCATGGAAATTCGAGACCTGGTCCCAGTTTGCCTTGCTCTGGTTCTGGCACATTCCAGAGGGGGCCAGCAGCTGGTCTCTTTCCACTGTCCTCTTTGAAGTGGGGTGACCAATGGGTGGGTCTAAAAGTTGGGTGATGTGCCTGCAAGGCAGAGGAGCTGGGATTTTTCCCCCAGAACCGCTGAGTGATACTTTGCAAGGGGCCAGAGATTAAAGGATAGAGAGATTGTTAGGACGATGTTGACATCTCTGGAAAAAACAAATGCCAAAAAAATTCAGTTGACGTTCTTCTTGCCATTTAAAACACCAGAATGTGTCGAGGTAGACATTTAGCCTCAAAATGGGATACAGAGTCTGCAAGTTAAATTTTCACTGCAATCAGATTTTTTGACAAAGCCGCATTTGTGGGGTGTGAGAGAATACCACTCAACTCCAGTGCCGGGCCTTCCCTCACCCGGGTCATCTCCTTGGTGTGACTTGGCCTCTGCTGGAGCTGGAAGGAATTCAGTAAAGGAAGATATATTGTTAGGGCTTATTGTGTTACTGTGCGTGGGGGAGTTAGTTAGAATCCAGATGATCAGCTCTTCACTGCTGTCCTCATTGTCCTGTCAAGCTTCTAAATGAAGCGTCATCTGGTACTCAAGGGGCCCTATTTCAAGAGTTCCGAGAAGTGCCACCTTCCCCCCTTCTGTAGAATAACAGGAAGAAACGTGCTTCAAGCACAAACAATCCATTCGGTTCTCTGAGCTGGGATCCAGCAAATGTTTGTTTCTACAAGCACGTTTTCAAGAGCCATGTTAGAAGAGCAGATAAGGAGTTTGAAGACCTTTTCCCAAGCCTGGACTGTTCTAGAAGACCAATAGGTCTTCCTGTAGCCCCCACTCCCAGGTGTGACTTTAGGAAAAACGGTAACATGGTTACAGACTTGCCCATTCCTTCTTTCCTTCTCCACTTCTCTCCCCTCCCCCATCTCGTCTCCTGTCTTTTACCACTGTTAGTTTTCACAGGAGGAACTGTTGACTTTTCACTGGAGGAAAAATTATTGCTTTGCCTCCAAAGGCTAGGTCTGATAAGTCTGCTTTATCAGTTCCATTGTATGTGCATCTTTGTGTAATAAAGGGTTAGCTCGGTCACTTTCTTCTAGTGCCACCCCTTCTGGGGACAGGGGTGGTATCTGCCTTTCCCAGCTTGGAACCTGCAGCCTCCTGTATTTGATGAGTGTTAAGCCCAGTTTGAGTTTGGTGTTGAGAGCTTGAGAGATGGTTGTTGGAGATGACTGTAGTTTCCTTTAGGTCTGGTCTCTGTTTCTCTGGGTTTGTGTCCCCCAAGTGTGCCCATAAGGGAAACGGACAAATGGCCAGGCTCCCTCAGATGTTCGGAATTTTGCTGAGCACAACCTAGCCTGTTTAATGTAAATATGTTAATTGCACATGTGTGCCCAGGTGTTTCTTTGGTTATCTGACTTGCACCCAGGTGTCCCTGGGTTATCTGACTTAAGTATAAAGAACAAACGGCTCTGATGCACAGGGTTCCCGGGATGCCCTGGAAGGCCCTTAGGGTTGCTGTGGTGGGGCTGCTGTTAGTTACCTGAGCTTGCATCCAAATAAAGCATGTCAACTTTACCCACAGCTCCCAGGATCTTTCCAGTTGCCTCACTTGTAGCCTGCACATGAGGGATCTGTGACCCAGTCTGCAGAACAGGTTTGAAGGGTCTGTGACCCAGCCCGACAGGAGTCTGTGACCCAGTCTGTACAATGGGTGTGAAGGGTCTGTGACCCACCCCAACAGTGCCAAATACAGGGGTGGTCTCAGGTGGCACAAAATGGCCACAAAGGCACTGCATGAAAGTTACTTTTTCAATTCCCTCCCCATTCCCTCTGCTTATGTCTGAAAGAACATCACCATGTGGGACTAGTTAGTCTTCAGTGCTATTAAGTACCTGCTAATCTCCCTTTTTAAGAAGATAGAGCTGGCCTCAGGCCACAATGAGTAGGTTGGCAAGTCATTGGCTAGAATGTAAAAATATTGTTCAATTTTTTTTTAAATACTTACTGTCAGTTATTGCATCAGTGCTGATTTCCAATTCATAAGGAGTGATAGAAAATGTATGTTTTAATACACTTACATAAGTTCAATTTACAGAAAACTCTGAGGTACGTTGTGTGGTAGGCAGCAACCAGTCATGACAGAAATCACAAAGATGGATGTGGTGGCTGAAGTTGAAGAAACCCCACTCTACGAGGTTTTTCAGGATGAGAAACTCTTTCACTAAGGCAGCTCTTCTTACATCTTTCCCCTTTCTCTGTTCCAGGCATGGATCCTGAAAAATTGGAGCGAATCCAGCTCCCAGTGCCAAATGTGGCCGAGAAGACTACCTACAACCATCTCCTGGCTGAAAGACTCATCAGGATCATGAACAATGCTGCCCAGCCAGGTGCCTGCCTGGGGGGTGTTGTCTGTTCACAGAGCCATGGAATCAGAGCAACCAGGCCGCCACACTGGGTACCAAGGGCCCTGGGTTCTGAACCTGGCTCTTCTGAGAATCTAGGCAAATCTCAGCCACTCCCTCCCTCTGCCCCTCAACACCCATGTTGTTGCTCCCCAGTACTCTCCTGCCTGCTGCAGCTGTGTCTTTGTCTCTGGGTCTCCTCTTCTCCACCCCACCCCCACCATGGTAACCATCTCTTTCCATGCCCATCCCTTCTTTTGCCAGTTTGCCAATGTCTGCAGCCCAGGCCATGTTGTGAGAATGAACTAGGCTGAGAGTCTGAGCAATGGGAGAAGGTTCAAAGGTTCGGATCAGGTGCTCTTGATAATATATGACATGGCCAGTGTCTGTACTGGTCAGCCTTGGTGTGAGGTTTCAACACCGATCTGCAGTCAGGGGAAGAGCTAGAAATAGCAGGTAGAATGACCTCGTACAGGATTTCTCAACTGGGGGTGATTTGGCTGCCCCCCAGGAGACACTGGAAAATGTCTTGGCACATTTTTGGTCATCACAACTGAAGGAGGGAGAGCTACTGGCATGTAGTGGGTACAGGCCAGGGATGCTTCTAAATGTCCTATGGTGCACAGGACAGCCCCAGCACAGAATTCTCTCCACTTCCCCTGAGGCAGCACGAGTGTGTGAGGACCCAGTGTTAGAAGACAGAATTTTCTAGCCGGGCCAACAGTGGGGGTTGATATAGGGGTATGTAGGAGTGAGACCATGCTCTGCAGAAGTACTGAACTTGGAGGAGGCAAGGCAGCTGAAGAGAGGTTATGCTAGTAGGGCTGGGGGCACTATGTGGCTGGGGCAGGGAGAACTAATTGAGCTGAGACTAACGATCATTTTTCCGTGGGGTCCCTGGAAGTTGTATCATGCTTAGGAAGACTTACTTTGCATGTATATAGCTTTCTCATTTTAAGCAAACAGATTCCCTCTTCTCCTGTTTCCACCTAATTTACAAAGGGACAGGCAGGGAAGTATGTGGAGGTGTATCTGCCTTAAGTGTTTCACATTAGCCCATCCTGGTCCCTCCTACTCCCGGAGGTGTGGCCTGGAGACTTCCTCCTCTCCTGGCCCTTCCTTCTACACTGGGAACTTTCTCCAGAAATAAGCTTAAAGACCCGCGATAAGAACAGTCATCCGTCTGTCCTTCGGTGGGGCAGTTACAGACGCTTCCATGAGAGATGCCAGAGGCGCATTTCAGCTTTCAGAGCACCTGGAGTCGGCCACTGCTCAGCTGTGAGACCCTGGACAAGTCATTTCACTTTTCTAAACCTGTCTTTAGAGCATCCATTCCAACCAGTTATTATAGAGATTCCGGAGATGGGGGTGGGGCATATATAAAGCACCCAGCACCATGCCTGGCTTCCAGTAGGACAGCATGGCAAGCTGTTGTTAGTCAGAACTTGGTTGCAGTTGACAGAAAACCAACTATGACCGGCTTAAGCAGTACAAATAGACAAACTGTCTTAGCCCATTTTCTGTTGCTCATAATAGAATACCTGAAACTGGGTAATGTATAAAGAAACAGAGTTTATGTTTTACAGTTTTGGAGGCTAGGAAGTCCAGTGTTGAGAGGGTGCATCTGGTAAGGGACTTCTTCCTGGTGGGGACTTTCTGCAGAGTCCCGAGGAGGCACAGGGCATCACATGGCAAGAGGGCAAGAGCATGTTCACGTGCTAGCTCAGGTCTCCCTTCCTCTTCTTATAGAGCCACCAGTTCCACTCCCATAACCCCTTGTTCCCATTCATTGATCCATGAGTGGCTTAATCCATTCATGAGGACAGTGCCCTCATGGTTCAGTCACCTCCTAAAAGCCCCACCTCCTAATGCTGCCACATTGGGGATTAAGCTTACACGTGAGTTTTGGAGGCAACATTCAAACTATAGCACAAACATACACAAATGTGTTGGCTTATAAAATCTGTTGGGGGCTGGCTTCAGGCACAGTTGGATCTAGGGGCTCAAACAATGTTTTCAAGATTCTCTGTCATTGGACTCTGCCACCTTCCAGACTGGCAAGCTCCAGCCCTCCTTTCCCTGTTGGGGCTCTAGACTTGATCTATGAAAGACACAGGTTTGGGCAGTCTAGCTGGATGGGAGATCTCAAAGCTTTGTTTGCAGAATGCTTTACAAAGATTAAAAATGCTGGCAAGGATGGGAAGGTGGTCTGTGTGAATTATAGTGCTTGTGTCCGTTAGGGTCTCAACACTGTTCCTGTCTTCTCTGCAACCCAGCACAAGGAGAAATTCTCGTGCCCAACGATTCTGGCAAATTGTGTAATTGAACCTTACTGGCTCTGACTGGCTCCCTTGCCTGTCCCGTACCCAGTCACTGTGACCAGGGGAATGGAACACCCTGACCAGCCTGGGTGATATGCTCCGCCCAAATCACATGACCCAGAAGGGCTGCTGGTTTTCCAAAGGAAAGTGGGAGGTGCTCATCCCTGAGAAAGGGGAAAGAATGCTGCACAAGCAAAACCACCACAGATGCTACTTTCTAGGCTTCAGCAATATTTAGTTGCCCTCTTTTTCCCACCTCCCCTCCCCCTGATAAACTCCAGGGACGTACTTGGTATAGCCTGTTTTGATAGAAACATTGAATTGTAACTGATTGGGGAAGAACTTGCCATGTGGGGGCTCCGTCTGTGTCCCCTCTGGATATTGGGAGTCCTTGAGCAGTCGGCCTGTCAGCTGACATGTTAACCTCAAAGTAGTTAAGGCATGAGCTTGTGTTTAAGGGCCCTGTGGCCTGGGAGTGCAAGGCTGACCCTGGTATGCTCTGCAGATGGAAAGATCCGGTTGGCGACGCTGGAGCTGAGCTGCCTCCTCCTGAAGCAGCAAGTCCTGACCAGCTCTGGCTGCATCATTAAAGATGTGCACCTGGCCTGCCTGGAGGTGAGGCCCTCTTCTCCCTCCCCGCATTTGTAGGCCAAGGAAAGTGACAGGAGGTTGAGCGGAAAGCTGCTGGCTCCAGAGAGGAGCACCTGGTCTGCGTGTCCTCAGCACTAGCTGGAAGCAGCTGGGCCTAATACCCTGAGACCGTGCTCCAACTGTGTGTTCACAAGGACCTTCCCTTCAGCTGAGACTTCTTTGAAGAGTCCACTTCATTGTTGAATTTTAGTAGCTTCTGTTACAGTCATTTGGTTCTGTATTTGTCCCCAGGAGTTTAAAATTTTTCCTTTTGTATTACAAAAGTTTTATACATATACATACATGCATATTTATTTAAAGTTCTTCATACTAAAATACATACTTATTAAGTTTTCAATAGCTTTTATTGTCTCCCCCCTTATTTTCCATGTTTATTTTAGAAATTTTAGGAAGTACGAAGAGGTAAAAAGTAACAACTATAGTTGACACTTTGGTGTGTGTCTTTGCAGACACACACACACACACACACATATACACACTTAGAAGTGAATTTTTTTATAAAAATAGAGTCATAATGGCCATATTGTATAACCCATTTCCCCCACTTAACCGTATATTAACAATGCTGCCATGTGATTACATTAAATTGCCTGTCCTCTCCCTCTTTCTTTTTGAGCTCTCTCTCCCTCCCTCTCTCTCTCATTAAGAATAAGGGTATTATTCCAGCATCTGTTTTATATGCACTCAGATTTTAGAATTCATAGTTTACCCAACTCACTTACCTCCTAAAGACCTGCCTCTTTCACACCTTCCTTCTCTTCTAACAGGGAGCAAGAGAAGAAAGCGTTCATCTCGTACGACATTTTTATAAGGTAATTGGCATAGCATGGGTGGACAGCAATGTGGGTTTCTTGTAGGAACAGGATTGTGGTGTCCAGTCATGTACACATAAAGGTTACTTGTCTTCAGTCATTTTTATGCCTCTAATTACTGATTTTAAAATACTCAAATTTTATGGTTTCCAGAACAGTGTGGTCTCTAATCTTTTCTGCCCATGCCCTCTTAATCAGTAAAATTTTTTTTAAAGCTTTTATTTTTAATTTACTTTTTGGGATTTTTTTGGCAGCTGGCCAGTACAGGGATCTGAACACTTCACCTAGGTGTTGTAATACTGCACTCTAACCAGCCATCCCTTAATCAATAAAATTTTTGAGGACTCAGCTCTAGTAGTATATGACTATTTGTTTATCAATTATATGTAAATTTGCTTATTTAGGAATTTGTAAATTATGGGTTATACTTATACACATATGACTAAATTATACATGATGAGCTTATGTTCATGAGTTATCTATGCTTATACATATAAAATTGCTTGTGAATTATCTATGAATTATAACGTGTGTTATTTATATACATATATGCTAATAAACCTCACACAGGCCCCTAAAATTTTATTATTAACTTTAGTGAGATTTTGTAAAGTACCACCATGACTTTGAGAAAAATTTGTAGAGGTTTGTCTTCAGGTTCCAGGTGATTAGTTTTAAAATACTTAATTGTGATGGTTTTGTCTCTTAAGGCATAGGCTTTAAGTCCATTTGGTCTGCTATGACAAAATATTTTTTAAAAAACCCATAAACTGGGTGACTTACAAACAATAGGAATTTATTTCTCACAGCTGGGAACTCTAAAATCAAGGCAGATTTGGTATCTGGCAAGGGCCTGCTTTCTCCTAGAGTGTGCCTTCTTGCTGTGTCCTCACATGGTAGGAGGGATGGACAGTCTCTCTGGGGCCTCTTTTATAAGGCCACTAATCCCATTCATGAGGACTCAACCCTCATGACCTAATCATTTCCCAAAGGCCCCACTTCCTAATACCATCATCTGGAGGATTAGGGTTTCAGCGTATGAATTTTGGAGGGATACAAACACGCAGACCTTACAGGTGTAGTGTATGCTTAGGCAAGGCTCACTCCTTGTCAGCCATAGTGAATTAATCCATATGTCAAATAGTCTTAGTCGTTTTCTAATTTTTTGCGCCTATATCAGATCTCTCTAATCCTATTAGTGATGGTTTCTCCTCTTAATATGGTTGATGAAGATCCTTCCAGGAGGGACAGATGTGTCAACACTGCTGTTTTCTTGTGGCTCACCTGTGCTTTCATTGTTTGTACTCTCTTTAAAATACTCTTTCTTTGCAGGAGCCACTATCCAGTATTGTCATTGTTTGTTGAGATAAAACAAGGTCATATAACCTAGAAATCCACCTCTCCAGACTCAGATGAGCCCATCCAGCTGTGATGGTGGACATGCCCAGACAAGCGGGCCACCACTGTGGGTCCTGCACACAGGGGAGGAAATCCCAGTTTCCCTTTAGGACATCCCAAACCACACTCAGCCTCTAAGTAAGGATACCCCCACCACACCCCCACCAGCAAAGCCCAGGATAAAGCAGAAACCTCACGGTTGCGTTAGTCATCTTTGAATCTCTTTCCAGTGTTACTGCTCTAACTTTATGTCCCCCCCCAGAGAGCTTTTGGATTACAAAATCAGAAAGACTTATAGGGGGCATTTTCCCAGAGAGTTAATATTTTTTATTAACAAAAGGAGAGCTATATTTGAATTTCAGTTTCCCTCTCCTAGCCCAGATTTTCCTCTTTTGCTTTTATCCTATAACATTTACACCCTAAGTATAATATCTTAGAAGCTTTTGGATGTTTTCAGGGGTTGTCATTTCTGTTGGTAGTACTTATGCCACACAAGAATATTCAAGTTTATGTGTAGTCCTGACAAATGGAAAAATATAAAAAGGATCTATTGCCTTTCCCACCCCAACTTTTTCTGTGTGTACATGTGTCTGTCTGTTCGTCCATCTGTATCTCATTCAGGATGTATGAGATATGACAGTTCTAACAGTCATTGTCAGTAGAGATTATAATGACAGTGAGTGCTAACATTTACCCAGCCCCAACTGAGTGGCAGGCTCTGGGCTCTGCGTTTTATGTGTATTAACTCATTTCACCTTCACAATGACTGGACAGACATGGGCTGCCATCCCAGTCTTGCAGTGACACAGAGAGAAGCTCTGAGAGGTGAAGCCAGGCTGTGGCCCCTGGCCTTGTCTCAGAGCCAAGTCCTTACCCAGTACCCTCTTCTGAAGGGGACCTCCTAGGCAGAGTCGCAAGCCGAGGAATTGCAAAACCCCAAAGGTACTCCTCAAAAACAGGTGGAACAAACTGTATAATTTTAGTGTTAAGTATATTTAATTGTACACTTCCTTTCAGAAGTGTGGAGCCATATGCTTTTAATATGGCAGCTTAACCAGGATTTCCCATTTCTCCAACCATTCTCAACCAATAGGTGATGTTAAACACTTGAAATAAGCACCATTCCTCTATTTTAATTACATACAGCATGACTTTTGTTGTATTTTAATTAACTGCTCTGCTCCACATGCTTGAAAAAAGGAGAAAAACATTGAGTGGTGCAATTTGATATTTGGTCTTTCATTTGAGTGTGTGTTCACGTGTATATTTCACTTCCCAATGATTTACCAGAACTCCTTAATGAGAAACAGATGGCCCCCAAAAGCCACAAACTGGAGTTTATAATACTTTGTTGTTTATGGAAAAAAAAATAATCCTCTCTTCCCTCCCTTCCTTTCTTTTTAGGGAGAAGAAATTTTTCTGGACATGTTTGAAGATGAGTACAGGAGCATGACAGTAAGTGAGGGGCCAAGAGCACACCTGAAATGGCACGTGTCTCTGTGCCTGCCTGGCTGCCCTGTGACCCCACGGGAAGGACTTCTCTGACTTGGGGCTTTCTGACCAAATGGCACAGATTGGTGGGGGAGTGCATTTAAAATAGTGCCTTTTGATCCCCACAGCTGCTAAAATTTCAGATTACGTTCACTTGCCCTAAGTGAGCCATGTCAGTTAGATGGGTCAGAAAGATTCACTTTGATATGAATAGTGTTCTTATTGAGGACTTATTCTGTGCCAAGTGTGTAAAGCACGTTGTGTCTTTTAAATCTCATAATCCTCATGTCAATCAGTGGGAATAGCTACTGTCATCGTCCACTTGTTACTGATGAGGAAACTAAGAGTAAGAGAGGTCAAGTGATGTCCCCAAATCTGCCTGGCCAGGGAGCAGCAGAGCCAGGCTTCTAGAGCAATCAAAGGGGCAGTCCCCTTTCCTTCTCCATAGATTATGCTGCCTCCTCCTTTGCCTCTCCACCAGAATGTTCCAGCGTGTAGCTCCTGCTCAGATCTGCAGCGCCAGCACCGAGACTTTCTTTAATTTCTCCCTCCAGCAGGGAGAATCATGGGAAATGATAGAAGATAACAGCTTTCTCTGCTTTGTCTCTGTGTTCCCAGCACCTGCCCCTTATTAGGCACTCAATAAGTCAATAATAAATGATACTTCTCATGGACATTACTCGCCAAAGTGTGAAGTGATTCGGGAAGTTTATAATAACCCTAAGTGTTTAAAGTGTCAAAAAGAAAAAAGCAAGCAGTGTATGCTAAGTGGCTCCCTGGCTTGCTAGCCCATTCACGGGGTGTCTGGACAGCTGAGTCCTCAACCACGTCCTCCATCACCACATATCTGAGGCCTCCATGGAACATTTTCAAGGGAAAAGTGTGAATTGACATAATTCATCTTCAGAAATAGCAGCAGTACTTGTGCCTGGCCTCCTTGTGAGGATGCGGGGCCACCCGTACCTGTGCCTTGCTTCTGTTGATGTCCCCCACCCCGTCCTTCCTCCAACCCCAGAAAAGCAGCCCAGTCTTCTCCTCTTCATGCCATTAATTAGAGTGGGATGGATTCAGTGATTATTTACTTTTTTATCGTACTCCCTGACATCCCCTTCTGCAATGTAATCCTCCCCAGTTTAGTTTCCTGTTTGGAAATATACGGTTCATATGTCACTCGACAGTGTAGAAAAGCTCAGGCTCCTAAACCCCTGCTTAGTGTCTTTTTTTGTTGCTTACTAACTATGCAGCCTTGGGCAGGTCGCTTAAATTGTGAGCCTTGGGGGGGGGGGGGTTGGGGGGGGGGGGGGGGTGGGGGGGGGGGGGGGGGGGGGGGGGGGGGGGGGGGGGGGGGGGGGGGGGGGGGGGGGGGGGGGGGGGGGGGGGGGGGGGGGGGTGGGGGTGGGGGGGGGGGGGGGGTGTGTGTGTGTGTGTGTGTGTGTGTGTGTGTGTGTGTGTGTGTGTGTGTGTGTGTGTGTGTTGGAGCCTATTACATAGAGAGGCCCAGGTGGAATAGCTGAGATGCCCTGTGTAGAGTCCGTGCACAACAGATACTCATTTCCACTCCCACCACAGGGAGCTTCCTGAGTTTTGTTTGTTTGCTTTAATCAAATGTTTAATGTGTGTACTGCACAATGTCTGGTATTCCAGAGAAATACCAATGCAACACAGCTCAGCCCCGTACCTGAAAGTCGGCTCACAGTGCAGCCTTCGGGAAGCCACCTCTGAGGGAAACGAGGTGGGGACAGGCCCGTGAGTGCTGCTAAAGCACCCATGGAGGCCGCTGCACTGGGCTAGGCCATGACTTCCGATGCCTCCCTCACTTCCCTGTCACCTCTGGTTTAATGCACGAGGTGTGCTGAGTCTATAGCTTCACCCCCAGCAGACTGAGGGCACTCACTGGGAAGGTCGTGGAGAGCAGTGGGCACAGGGCAGAGGGAGCTGTGCGTGAGCAGAGGCAGGCTGGGGAGGTGCTGCTGGCAGGCTGGTGCAAAGAGCACCCTGGGTTGGAAATAGGGCTCTGCCACCTGCTCCGGGAGAAAGGGGTTTGGGGTATGGATTTCTTCAGACCTCTGGAGGAAAGGACAAAAGTGTCCCAAAGACAAAGGCAGGCAGCATGCACCAAATGGCCCCTTGAGCTCTGGCATGATCACCAGCCATCTGAAAAGCTGGGCCCTTACAACATCCTTGCCCTGTTTAGTCAGCTTTATGTGGCAGGAGGAGGAAAGTCTGATATGTTTGAGGCCCACTTTCTGAAAAGAGAGGACACAGAAAAAGCTTGTGATGCTTGAAATAGTAATCTTAATCCTGTAGAAAACTCACCATTGTGAGATGTCAGGTAAATGCAGTGTTAGTGTTCAGCCACACACATGTGTTAAGTGACAGAACCAGTGCAACCAAGCCGGAGGTTGGGGTGATGTTACCCTGTGTCTTAGTAATCAGGGAAGACTTCGTGGAGGTGGTGTGGAAGGAGGCAGCTCTGCTCCTATCTGGCCTGGTGGCCGTTGGCACTGAGCTCAGTGTCCCCTCTGATATGGGTACCAGCACCCACTGTCTAGCAGTAGATGAGCCCAGCAGCTTCCTGGCACTTAGTATATGCTCCGTAAGTGACTTGGTTATATTATCCCAGGTAAGATTGAAGGGGATGAGGAAGGAAGGGGGAACGTTGGTCCTGGGGTAGAAATCACAGGGGCCTGGAGCAAGGCAGGCCTGGCCTCGTGTCTCAGCTCTCCCACTAGCCACCTAAGGGACCCCAGTTCCATTCTTCTGCATCTCCAAGACACCATTCTCTCATCAGGCAAGTGGGAAACATGCCTCTAAAGCTTTTAGGTCTCAGCCCGTCCCACAGTCAGTTGTCGATAATCAGAAGCTGCAGTCACTACATCTGCTGTCATCATCTTCGGAAGGAGGGGAGGAGGAGGCAGGTAGCAGGCAGGTTCATGCTCAGAGGGATAAGACACCCTAAGGGACACTCCTATTCCTGCTGTTGGAGGGGGGATGAGAAGAGAAAGCCAAGCTTTTCATAGCAGGGAAGCAACTTCTCAAGAGTTTTTGAGCTGTCACTCAAAGGAAAAATGTACAACTTGGAACAAAGAAAAGGCATATTGCTCACATATCTGGCACCTCCGGGCTCTGCCTCAGTCTGAGTCCAGGGTTGACATCACTCATTTACTGTGTGGGGGTGAGGGTGAGAGCCGTGTGACCCGCTCCATCGTCCCTCTGCCCCCAGTGAGGGACCTTCTTTGAGCTTGCCTGTGTCATCTCTTCCAGATGAAGCCCATGAACGTGGAGTATCTCATGATGGATGCCTCCATCCTGCTGCCCCCAACAGGCACGCCGCTGACAGGCATTGACTTCGTGAAGCGGCTGCCCTGTGGCGATGTGGAGAAGACCCGGCGGGTGAGTGCACGCCGGCCTCTCCCTCCCATGCACCCATTTGCCAGAATCACTCCCAGGCCAGGGAAGAAAGGGGCTCTTGGTCCAAGTCAAGGGCCCACCTCCAACATGGGCTCAGAGAGAGGGCATCTCCCCCACACACCTGCCATCCGACATCCTCTCCAGAGTGTGTTGCCCTTTGAAAAGCGAGGATTGAGATTATGTTGCATCTAGCCCCGGATGTTGGCGGCTCAGCCCCCAGCCCTGAGCTCAGTGAGCGGAAGCTGGGTGGCCGAGCTCTGCGGACCATGGGGGGCAAGCACAGGACATCCAGAGTAGATGAGGGTGGTGTGAAATTGTGGCCCAGAGATCTCAGGACCCTCAGCGATGGTGTGATGTTAAGGTATCTGACCAATCTCAGGGCTGGGCAAATGCAAGTGAGACTAGTTCTTGCTGGCCTGTAGGAGACACGTTCGTGCAGGGCAGATTAGTTCTCAGAACCTGTTGGAGTGTGTGCTTCCGTTATCAGCATTTTTTTCTGAAGCAGCGCTCTAGGAAGCAGTCTCAGCAAGGCTATTCATGGTATTTTATCTCCCTTGTAAGATCAGTTTCTTTCTTAGAAAGCACCATAATCTTTTCCTAGAAAATCATTCCCTAGAGACATGAATGTTAGTGGATAATTTAGAGGAATTCATTGCAGACGGCTCCTGTTATCAGCCTGCATTGTCCTCTGAGTTCATCTGTGTGTGACCAGAGAGGCAGAAGTGTTTCACTTTTGGATTTTGAAAAAGAGGAGAGACCTGCTGTGTGTTCCTCAGACAAGAGGAGTCGGCAGCCTCCCCCACCCAGCTGGCAATTTTGCCTCGTAGGCCTGGGGTGCAGAGGAAGTGGGACCCATGTATCTGGAGTTGATGCACATTTCCAGCTGTCTGACCAAACCCACAAAGCTCACCACAGGACCCACCCTGTTCGGGCCACTGATGCCTTCCTTTCACATGCTGGGTCCCCACTGGCCAGGCACACAATGTTGTTTGTGGGTGGCAGTGTTTGCACTGGGTGTCCTTGACATCAGCTTTCACAGGAGCACTGGTTCTGACAAATGCATATCTTGTTGGTGACTCCTTCTCAAGGCTGGCACACTCACCCTTAGCCTTTGGTTGACCAAAGAGGTGCTCCCTGGCAAGTTTATAGAGAAGCTGTACACCCATCTGGGGCTGCAATGTCCCCGTGCCAAGAGGGCCCTGCTTCAGGGTTCCTCTCAGCCCCTGAGTCAGGAGGCCCAGACGACTAAATGCTGAGAGCTGCTGCTCGGGGTTGCTTTCTGCCTCTTTTGGTTGATGATCTCATCAGGTTTTTTCTTAACACTTATGTGAGCACATATCCTTTGCTAGTGGATCATTCATATCAGTTCTTTATATAGATTCTCTCACTTAATTCTACAACTGCCCTAGGAGGTGGGCACTATTGTTATCCCCATTTTAAAAACAGAGCAAGAAACTGAGACACGAAGAGTGACTTGCTCAGGGTCACCCAGCTAGTAAGTAGCTGAGCCAGGAATTGGCCCAGGCAATGTGCCCTCCAGAGCCTAGATTCTGGCCTGCTGCTTTCCACTGCTGCCTTCGTCATTTCTGTTAATTCTCCTCAGGGCTAGAAACACAGCCCCAGTCCTCAAGGAATCAGAGCCTAGAGGGTGAGGTGGGAAAAGGCAGTGGACAGCCATGTGGCTGGGCCATCACTAAAGCAGCATGGGTGAGGGAGGTGGGAAGGCACCAGAGTAGTCCTTAAACCAAGTCTGTGAAGGAGTGGGCTGGGCAGGGGGAGGCAAAGTCCCAGAGAGATGTAGCACAGACTGGCACTCCATGGAGATGATCACAGCTGAAATCCAGAGTGTAGAGCAATGAGGCCAGAGGGGCTGGCAGGAGCCAGCTCACAGGGGCTTCAGAGCCCAGGGAGGACCTTGGCCATAGCCTCTTAACACTGTTTCAGGACATCGTGCCTTGCTGGGTTGGGGCAGACAGTTCTGGTCCACAGGAGAGACATGGGAGAAATTCAGGGACAAGGCATATGGCAGGGGGAGGGGGGTGTCCACTGTGAGCCACTGTCTCTTCATCTATACAGCAGAATATGCCTGCCTTTCCAGAGTTGTTGTGAGGACTCAATAGAAGGCATAAACACAGAAGGCCAATAGCAGGTCCTTTGTGGTAGTAGTTCTGTTCTGCCCTTTAAAGCCCTTCACATCTCACTTAGTTGCAGGTTCCCAGGGCTCTGCTGCCCACCTCGCTTGCCCCAGATAGGACGCACAGCCCAGATGGCCGACTGAAGCACAGACAGAGGCCCTGGGAACATCTGGCCTTCCCTGGGGTCTCTTGTTAGGCCTTTGTCTGACCAGTTCACAAAAGCAACTGTTGGGTCTCAGGGCCTCTGGATGGCAGAACGATATCAAATAGGGCCACCCACCTCAAAGGAAAGCCATCCACTTTCGAAAAGTTTCCTTTGGTGACTTCAAGAATCAATTTCTGAAGGAGAGTTTTGGCCACTCACCTCAGTCTGGTTCCTTTTGCAAGGCAGCTTTCTAGAATCATCCAGAAGCTTAGCTTCTTAGACCCATTTCAGAAATCAGAACACAGCAGTGTGTTTTGAATTTGAGCTAAAGGAAGTGTATGGTTTAACAAGCAATTGAGAGCTTATGTGGTTTATTTCAAGGTTTTTGCTTATATCCAAAGAACATTCCATCTTATCCCTTTGGATAAGGTGTGTGTGTGTGTGTGTGTGTGTGTGTTTCACCAAGTAGACATTTTTTTTTTTTAAACTTTTAGGAGGCTGTTCCTTTTCAGAAGTCCCACCCTTTATTTTACTTAAGGACTTGTCAAAGTTCAGACAGTCCTTACTGGTTATCATTCCTAACTTATAAAATATACATTCATACATTTATCAAAGAGCTTCTGGATTCCTACTGTGTGCCAAATGCTGCACTGTACATGAAACTGCAGAAGTGACCAGGGCAAATGTCCCCGCCTTCTGGACCTCTCTAGAGAGGTAAAGTTTATTAACAAGTAAGTGAATAACAGGGTTGATGTCAGACTGTACTCAAGACTTGAGAGGAAAAAAATAACATGATGTGGCCAGGACTTGTGGTGTGGTCTTACTTAAGATAGAGTAATCAGAACAAGTTACTCTGTAGAGGAGACATCTGAGCTGAAATCTGAAGGATGAGAAAGAGCCAGAAGAATTAAAAAGGAAGCCCTTTCCAGATGGGAAACAGCACCTGCGAAGTCTGTGAGATATGAGAGCGTGGTGTGTTCTAGGAACAGGATATCTGGCTGAGTGAGTATGGAGTAGTGACGCAGAGGAAGAGCTGGAGAGGTGACAGGGCTCTGCAGGCCGTGGGGAGGCATCTGGCGATAAAGTCGTTTTTCTTCTTGCACTTTATTAATTACAGCATTAATCCTTTCATTCTCAACATATTTGTTGAGCGTTTTCTAGGTGCCAAACACTTTGCAAGATGCAGGGATAGAACTGGGACAAAATAATGTAAAATAAAGCCAGAATAGCAGTCATGCCACTGTGCTGAGAAGGGAAATTCATGTTGAAAGGAAGGTCACCAGAGCTGTTGGGGTTCCATGAGAACTTCCAAGCAGAGCTTTGGACTTGGGCTGGACCCACCCCCATGTGTAGGGGCAGCTGAGACAAGTGGTTAAGAAAGAAGGCAGGTTTGTGAGTCAGACCAGCCACGGGTCAAGTGCCAACTCTAGCTGTGTGATCTTGAGCAAATTACTTAATGTCCCTGAGCCTCAGGTCCCTCATGTGTCCTACCTCTCAGCTGTTGCCCAGAGTAGATGACAGAGTGGCTGGCAGATAGACGTGGAACATTCTAACATCTTAGGTGGGGAAGAAATAGGATCTTTAATGTTCTAAGTCTACTGAAGGTTAATGCTAGCAAAAAGAGAGGGATAGGATTTTTTGGTGAATATCAAAATCTGAATTTAAGCCATCAGTTGTCTTTATATAGTAATCTTGGAAGCCATTATGAAATAAGTGTATTTGCACAAGGTTTTATTTGTCCCCACATTCTGTTTCCCTCTTCCCTTGTAAAAACCACAAGCAATTTTTGTGTTTATTGCTATTGACCTTGAGGAACTAGGATATTTTGCTTTACTCTTTGGATATGTATTATACATTCAAGAAAACACAATAATATTTTATAACGTTTTGAAAAGGAAAAGTTTTTATAAAGTTTTAAAGGAAAAAGAATTTCCCTTGATTTCATCACCCTGAATAGACAGACATTTTTTGTGTCTCCTCTATCTTTGTTTGCAAACACATCTTTTCATGGTTGTAAAGAGAGTGTACTATGGTCTTGCTTTCATCTCTCCCCTCCTTTTTTTCCTCTTTTCATTGTGGTGCAAGAAGTTTTTCATGTTGTTGTGATAACGGTTTTAATAAGTCTGATTTTTTATGGCTGCATAAAGGTTTATTTGGTGGCTTCCGCCGTAATTTACTTAGGCATTTTCCTGCTAGTAGACATTTTGGTTGCTTCCAGTATTACATTACTTTCAACTAAAGTGTAACAAGCAGCTTCATGAATACAGTGTTTTCTTTCTTTTGAACTATTTCTTTAGGATAAGTTCCCAGAAGCAGAATTTCTGGTTCAAAGGGTATGAACGTTTTTCTATAACTCTCTGTGCATTGCCAAATTGCTTTCCCAGTGGAAAGCAATTTTGTGCCAATGTTAAACTGCTTCAGCACTCTTTCAAAAATGACTTTCACAGCCACTTCCATGTCCTGGGTGGGCTTCTAACTCGAGTGACTGTCACCTAAACTGAGCAGCTTGCAAGTGTAGCAAGGAAGCAGGAAGAAGAGCTCAGCGTTTGTTCCAGGGCCGGCCCCAGGCTCAGTGCGTCACCTGTGCCACCTCCTTGCACCTTCACAGTGGGTACCCCATGAGCACCCCACGTCCAGAGCACAAGCCTGGGTGCGGGGAATTCATGTACCCATCTGAGCCCCAGTTTAAACCAAGATCCATC